ACAAAATGTAGACGATTCCGATGGTAACACCAATGGATTCAAGTGTTTTGCTTTGTGCATTTAAAAGGGACATTTTTGCTTTATGTTTTGTCAGGTTCAGCAAACAGTTTTGACTATAAAAATTAAATAAGCATGGAAGTTTTGTGTTATTCAGATTGAAGACCTTAAACGCTTATGCAAACTTGGAAGCCGGACCCCTGGGCATCCAGAGAATGGAGTGACAGAAGGCATTGAAGTCACAACGGGTATAGTAAAATGTCACATTTCTTTTTAAGACACCTGATAGAATTTAGAGCTATATTCTCAATATAGTATGATAATAGTTTTGTCACTGAATTATGGATTTCCTGTATGCATGTCATGCAATCACGAAACACCCCTTCACAGGATCTCATACTGAATAAAATCTTGTTAACTTTGCTTTAAGAGATAGTGATCCCACCAAACTACAAGCCTCTTGGATATGAAGGAACACTTCTAGAAAGAAACCTAGGCAAATAGCTCAGGATATCGAATGAAGAGTCCTGCATAACCTGATATGAAGGCATTGGATTTGTTTGTGTATGATACCACAATATTGTTCTCTTTCCTCCTTGGATTAAGGAAATCTGATCAGGATAGTCCCAATTTTTGTGTAACCTACAGGTCCTTTGGGACAAGGTGTCGCAAATGCGGTTGGTCTTGCTTTAGCAGAAGCTCACTTGGCTGCTAGATTCAATAAGCCTGATATCGCCATTGTTGATCATAGAACGTAAGTTGGTTTACTATCCCTTTTTAATTTGTGGATGAAACTGAACAGCATTTCTCTTGGATAATATTTCTTCAGGTATTGCATCATGGGTGATGGCTGTTCTATGGAAGGCATATCGAATGAGGCTGCATCCCTGGCCGCACATTGGAAGCTGCACAAACTTACATTGATATATGACGATAACCATAATACCATTGACGGTAGCACTGACCTTGCAGTTTCAGAGGACATATCCGCACGATTTGAAGCTCTAGGATGGAACACTATCCTTGTGGATAACACACAAGGAAATATACAAGCGTTCAAGAGTGCACTAATCTCTGCACATAGTGAGTCTGAGAAACCAACTTTCATCCGGGTATGGCAGTGTCAGAACTGTGACAATAATATATGACAAGAAACGTCTTCATTAATTCTTCTGGATGGAGATGCTCTACAATTGAAACGTTTTATATTTTCAGGTGAAAACAAGAATAGGGAAATTGTCAAAAAAGGAGGGAACATCAAAAGCTCACCATGGAACCTTTGATGAAGATGATGTAAAGCATATGAAACAGAAAGTTAAATGGGGTGATAGAGAACCATTCCATGTCATTCCTATGGTTTACAGGTAATAATGTTCAGTGTTTGCTGTTTTGTACTTCTATAAGGACAAAGAAGAGCGTGTTGTAAGCGCATTTGTTATCAGGGAAATGCAAGCACAAACAGATCTTGGTGGAAGGTTGGAGCAGGAGTGGAACTCCAAACTTTATTATTATCAAAGCAAATACCCTGAGGAAGCGGCAGAATTCAAACTTCTCCTTGCTGATGGAATGCTTCCTGGCTGGGAAAGCGCATTACCGGTAAAATATGCATCTACTTTGTACCTTTCTACACTTAAAAAACTAAATAAAAAAGAGGGCTCTCTAAGAAGACATAAACACACCTAGAATAAACTAATTCATCTGAACTGTGTTTGTGGATGCATTCTCAAGGAAAGACAAACAATTCCAAGTTAAATTCAGTCTTTTAAACAGGAGATTATGAAGGGAAATACCTGATAGACTAATTGTTCTTCAACGAAATCACAATAAGTTAGCAAACAAAATCGCTCGTCTCAGTGGGTGGTTTCTGAATAATGTCAAGAACTAGGACCAAATTATTTTATCTGAGCTTCGGAGGAGCCAAAGATGCTGTTGATAAGTATTACGGTGAATGTTAGTGTTACATTTGGTTGGCTTTTGGACATTAGATGTTTGCAATTGTTGTTTTAAGACATTTCATAATAGATATAGTTTGAGCCTCCACACTTGCTTACTCTTCTTCAGCCAGAGTTCTTTATCTAATACTTGTTTACGCTATCATCAGAAATGGTCCATGTCTGACCCCGTGGATGCCACCCGAGGATATTCGGGGAAGTGCTTGAATGCGCTTGCTAAAGTGCTTCCTGGACTAATTGGGGGTAGTGCAGACCTTGCCAGCTCAAATCAAGCCTATCTCCATGATCTCGGAGACTTCAAGCAGCCCGATTCCCCATGGGGGCGGAACATTAGGTATGGAGTCAGGGAACATGCAATGGCTGGAATTTCCAATGGACTTGCATTGCATGGTGGCGGCTTGATACCATTTGCGGCAACCTTCCTTGTATTCTCAGATTACATGAAGAATTCAATCAGATTATCCGCTCTTAGCCGCGCTGGAGTCATCTACATTATGACCCACGACTCGATCGGATTAGGCGAAGACGGACCAACTCATCAACCAGTTGAGCACTTAGCTGGTCTTCGAGCTGTTCCCCACTTGCTGCTCTTCCGACCTGCTGATGGAAATGAGACTGCTGGAGCCTATAAGGTAGCTGTTGAAAACCGAGATGTACCTAGTCTTATTGCATTGTCGAGGCAAAAGGTGGCAACCAACGTCGAAGGAACATCGGCTGATGCAGTAGAGAAAGGCGGGTACATTGTTAGCGACAATTCCGAGGAACTACCAGAAATCATATTGATTGGCACTGGATCAGAGCTGTGTCTATGTGAAGCCAGCGCGAACGTGCTAAGAAACGAAGGGAGGAGAGTAAGAGTGGTTTCCCTCGTGTGTTGGAGACTTTTCGATAGGCAGCCGAGGGATTACAAGGAGCTTGTGTTGCCATCAAACGTTTCGAAACGTGTGAGCGTGGAGGCAGGATCACCCTTAGGGTGGAAGGAGTATGTTGGAGATGAAGGCGTTGTGATTGGCATCGACGACTTTGGGGCTAGCGGACCATATTCAGAAGTATTCAAGAAATATGGTTTCACAGAGGAAAATGTGACCAATGCTGCGAAATCATTGCTTGCCAAATGAAGCTCTATTACCACACCTGTTATTAGAGGCAATATCATACCTTGTCAAGAGATGCAGTGTATTCTGCTAGATGTATATGTACAAACAAATGCATATTTTAAGATTATTATCTCACAATTTACAATAATATGTTAATAACCAATATTAAACAAGATAAACCTATGTAGTCGATCTTAGTAAATATAACAATACACGACTTCTTTCAAAATCTTTGTTTTTATCGGATCCTTCAAAAAATGTTATTGGTGTTGTTTTAGATCCTCCAAAAAGTATTGCAATTTTGGAAGATATGAGAGTGCGGCAATATTTTTGGAGAATCCAAGCGACATATTACAGTCTGTCCTCATTGGCCACAGTAGTGTGAGTTAGTAAATTTTGTATTTATCTATTTTTTCGTCTATTCGAATGCTCTCCAAAAAAGAAAAAAGTCCCGAGTTCATATTCACAAGTTTTTTCTTTTTGTCTCCCAAAATTATTGTATGATTCTCAGATAAAATATTACAAGCCGCTAGTAAAGTCTCAATAAATCACGCACTAAAACTTAAATAAGTGAAAGGGAAAAAACCATGGAGATAATAAAGGAACACCTTTCCCTTGGGAATTACGGCTATAAATATATGTGAAAAAAAATGAGTAGCATTCTTCTCCATTCATCTAATAAACTTTTTACCTTTCTTAGAATTGTACTTAGGGTAAAATTCGTCTGCTATATAAAGGAAAAACGTAGTATTCACCGAGCTCGGACTCACTCTTATCATTGGTTTGGTCATTTATTACATCTTTTATTTGCTTAATCTAACGTCATTGACAACTTATATTGAATTAACCCACATATCCATAAAACCACGTATAAATTTAACTAATATCCATTTTTAAGAGTAAATAGTTTGGCGCCCACCGTGGGGCTAAGGATAATAGTGGTAATTTGATACAAATTTCCATAACACACTTTGTTTTACGTTTGTTCTTTGAGATTTCAATTCCAGGTCAATTTAAGAATGTCAAACTCTCAATCTGCTCACTTGAACGTTGATGCTGAGTCTGGCCACCATGACGAGAACAACAATATAGTGCCCAGCTACGAGGTGCCCCATGTTGACCCCAACGGAGTACCTTTCGCGGACCCAATCGATGCCAACTCACATGTGGCCATCGACGCAAACTTGCCTATCGGCCCAGAAAACAGCGTTCGCGGAGGAACCTGATCGGTAGCCCGGAGTACGCACGGCGGTGAAGGCGTTGGGATCAGTTGGGATTAGAGCTCAAGTATCAACGAAAACCTTTCATTCCATTTCAGATAAGATTTAAGCATGTCACATGTGTCCAATAAAGACTGGATTTTTATAGGATTTAAATGAAAATATATCAGAAATATCAGAGACTACAGACTTTGGTTTCTAATGTAAGAATACCTTAAGGTATATTAAAGAGAGCAGTGCTTCAGAAAGCTAGGGAGAGTTCTAGAGTTTGTGTCAGATATATTGTGAAGGAAACAAAGCAATTTTACACCTAAAAAGTAATGACAGAGCAAAATGTCATTTATGCCCTTGGTCGACCATCAAGCATTTTCTATATAACAGAAAAGAAAAATCATTTTGTACTTTTCCCTTCGTTATGTACAATGCTCTATCATGAAATGGGTGAATTACACATATCTAAATTCCTTTTTTTAAAAGTTGAATCTTTTTAAATTTATTCCTCAATTTTTTTACAATTATTTAAAAGCATTCTCGTGTTAGAGTTTCAATATGAGCTAGAATAAGTTTTTGTTTAGACCACTGGGTATTATTAGACCTAATGTGTAACGACGTATAAAGTTGTTAAATTTTGAATATTAGATTAATAAATTGATCATTTTCCTATTAGTCAATAGTGAATAATATCATCGAAAAAAAATAGTACTCAATAATATCAACAATTATCGAATCAAGTAAAAACGATTTCTAGGTATTTTAGCGCTCTATATAAAGTAGTCCATCTACTCCCACAACAACATTCACATTTCACACTAACCAGTAACCCCCAAATTCACCTGAACAAAACCTTCTCTCTTATCAATGGCCGCCGCCGCACCTCCGCCGTCGCCGACGCCCGCTCCAGCTGTCATCCGTGAGGACTTAGTTCCTACTGGCCACCAGGTCTTCTCCCGAATCCGCCTCGCCACCAACGCCGACGTTCCCCATATCCACAAACTCATCCACCAGATGGCCGTCTTCGAGCGGCTCACCCACCTCTTCTCCGCCACAGAATCTTCTCTCTCCGCCACTCTCTTCCCTGAGAACTCGCCGCCTCCCTTCACTACTTTCACCGTCTTCCTCCTCGAAGTTTCCCAAAACCCTTTCCTTCCTATCGACAACCAAAACTGCACCAATTTCAGCCCCATACATAAGACTATAAATCTGGATCTCCCGATATCCGACCCGGAAGCTGAGATGTTTAGATCAGGCGGAAATGATGCAGTGGTTGCTGGGTTTGTGTTGTTTTTCCCGAACTATTCGTCATTTTTAGCAAAACCTGGGTTCTATATAGAGGATATATTTGTGAGGGAGTGTTACAGGAGAAAGGGTTTTGGGAGGTTGTTATTGTCTGCTGTGGCAGCTCAGGCGGCTAAGATGGGGTACGGAAGAGTGGAGTGGGTGGTTCTAGACTGGAATGTGAATGCGATCAGGTTTTATGAGGAAATGGGAGCTCAAATCTTGCAGGAATGGAGGGTTTGTAGGTTGACTGGTGGGGCCCTTGAAGCTTTTGCCAATGTCAACATTTGAGTCTTTAATTTTCCACTGTTATGTGTGATGTAATGGTGGTATGGAATTCCACTTTTTTAACAGTGATTTTAAGTAGCAATCTAATCAAGATATTTCACCTACTTATGGGATTTGTTTTTTTGTTGTTCATTTTCCTTTAATTTCCTTCTCCTAATTGCTTTCAGCTGCAGTGTATTGTATGTATTGTGAATTCTGTGTTTGGAGCATTATGGAAATTTGTGGTTACCTCCTAGCCGATAAAATAATTAAAAGAAATCAGTTATCCACGGATATTATCTATTAAAAATGAGTTGGATAATAAACTTTTTAAAAACGGATCGAATATGGATAAGAATTGTATTTTAGAAAATAATTAACTGAATATGTAATCAACGGATAACTAATGTATTTAATTTTAATCAACGGATAACTAATGTATTTAATTTTTACATTTGTAAAGTCTTAAATTGAGGTTCTTGGAAAACTAGTTTTTATCCTTAGGTTCTTGGAAAACTAATTTTTATCCTTGTGGAATACAGGTCGGGATCGAATAATTTATTGGTTTGTTAAATTATCTCATATCCGACCTGCCCGCCCGTATGGCATAAACCTCTCCCTGAATGAGTCAGTTTCTGGCATTTTGATTTTCTAGAGAATACGGGAAGCTTCTTGTAGAAGCTAGACTTACTTTTCTCTGATTCTTTGTAAAACCTGTAGAATGTTGCAAAAGCTTCTTACCTCTCTCTCTCATTGGCCAAATAAACCCATTGTTCAATCGGTACTATTCTCTTTCTTTCTTCTCTTTTGTCTAAAGTAAAATACTAGTGAAACGAAACTTGGTTATTACACACCTTAATGCTCCTCACAGCATAACGCCATGGCCTTAGTCCCCAAAATACTTAGGGACCCCCAAAATTTGTATAATATTTAATTATACACTATTGATAGAATTTTTAACTCATTTGTTTAAAATAATTATAGCTAAAAGTTTTACACATTTTAAATTATGGTTATTAGTTATTTTTCGTCTTTAATTTATCCCAATTTTATATCGATCTTCTTATAATGTTAATTTAGAACAATTTTTCTCAATTCTTAGTGCTTTGTAGACATTTTTCAAGCTACTTTAATAAATAACTATTAGTTACTATCGTATTATTTTTACAACTTATATTTAGAATTAAAAGTGCTAAGAGAAATTTTATAAGTAGTAGAATACTCTAATTGGCAAACTCAATCAGGTAAAAAATATGTTAATTCAATTACCGTTAACAATTTCTATATCAGTTGCATCGGTTGAAAAAGTTTTTCAAAACTGAATCAATAAAGTTGAACATGATAACACAGATTAAATAAATTGGTTAGACATTGACAATAATTAAAATTAATTATAACTGATTTAGATTTCGATAATTATAAAAAAAAAATTAAAAAAAATATAAAGCCTCACTTTTTATTTTCGCCTTAAGGCCCATAATTATGTCGAGCCGTCCCTACACTCTCTGATAACTCCTGCAACGCTTTCTATTTCATTCCTGTCTATTTTTTTTGAGCAAACTTCATTTGTAGCCATCCGGAGAAAATTAATGACAATTAGTAGCCACAAAATAAATCATACAATTAATAACCAAAACTAATTACAAGGGCTAGCCCAAAACCCCTTCCGCTCTTCCCCCTTCAAATTTCAGACTTTTCAACTCCGTAATCTACTTTAATCCATACCTTTCCGTTACTCTGCCACCTACTTACAGAAATTCGAGTAAATTGGTTGGGAATTTTCAAACACCCCCTTTTGTTTTACAGTTCCGTTAGCTGCCGGTATTAATTTAAAAATGAGTTCTTTTCCCACCTGCCACTTGAAAGCTACTCATATCTTGTTTTATTTTTTATCGCTACTTACTTGTTGTTCACTTTCGTAAATTGCAGTTCACAAAATTGTGGAGAACTTTTCATTACGGAGCAATGACAAGTTTCTTTAATGTGATTATGATATTTCAAATAATCCTGTGTTAGGCTTTTTGGTTCGGCAATTAAAATATGACCTTTTTTATTTGCTTTTGTCTTGAATTCTGATGGATCCGCTATATACTCACATCTGAAGGTGTTGATTCTACCAGTCAGGTGACAAACTTGACCTTACTGACTACCAGTAAAAGCTTTTCAACATGAATTTTTTTACAAGTGAAAATGGTCGAATTTATCCTAGAACTATGCAAAGTGATTTCACATTTTGCTATGAAAATCCAATAACAAATAAGTAACTCACTTAAATTAAGTTTGGAATAACAAGTCGATTGTATATAAATTGTATAGTAACAGTCTATTTTGTAAAATTTTGTATAGTGATAGTCTATTTTATATTTATTTTGTAAGAGTGGCAGTGGAAAGTGTCAGTACACAAAATATATACACAAAAATAGACTGTCACTATAGAAAAATATACTAAATAAACTGTCACTATACAATTTATATACAATAGACTATCACTATACAAAATAGACTGTCACTATACAAAAAATATACAAAATAGATTGTCACTATACAAAAAATATACAAATAGACTGTCAAATACAAAAAAAATATACAAAATAGACCGTCACTATACAAAAAATATACAAAATAGATGTAACTATACAAAATGTATACAAAATAGATGTAACTATACAAATATATATAAAAAAGACTGTCACTATACAAAAATACATGATACACTCTAAATACACAGTGTGCACACATTACACATACAAAATTGTATATAATTTATATACACTATGTTTACATATTAGAAAATACACATTATATACAATTTTGATACATTGTTCAGACAGATTATACATTCACGATACAAAATACATTTGGGGTACACAAATATATACACTTTAGATACACAAGCACACTCGAGATAGACTCAATATACACTAAGGATACACTGTCGAACTTAGGATACAATATTTATACATTGCAAAAAAGGATTGCTCTATCACGCCAGGCAGGGGTCGAACCTACGACCTTCAGCTTAGGAAACAAGCACTCTATCCACTGAGCTACAGGCGCTTATGTTGTCATACTCATTCCTTTTGGCTACTATATGCAATACTTTTGGGCCGAAGGGCCATTTTTTGTAAGTAGGACAAAACATGGGCTATTAAAATTTTGAGGGGCTATAGAGGATAGTTTTCTCTTCTTTTTTTTCCATTCTCACAAATAAATCGCACACAATTTTACAAATATCTAAAAACACGAAATAATCTTCCTCTCGTAATTCGTACGACTTGGTTGTCGTGTTTGCGTTTTTCTACAAAATCTACGTATGTTATTATAACTACTTTATTACAGTACTATTTAAACTCCTATAAGTTATAAAACAAAATTTATTCTGCTTATTAAATATTTATTAGTGTTAGTACCCGCACGATGCGCGAATATTATCAAAGAATATTAGTCATATTAGAGTATAATTTGATTTATCTGAGCAGATTATGCTTTTTTACTAAATCATTTTTATCGTCTTATCTATTCAATAATGAAAGTTCAATGTAATTAAATTAAACAAATCATATAATTATGGAATAACTTTTGAATGTTACTCAAATATCGTAATTATATAAGTTGTGCTACAAATAATATGAAAATATAGCATAATCCAAAACGAATAAGACTACGTTATAATTAAATGAATCAAAAAAAATCTTTATTTACTAATTATCTAGCTTCATTTGTTATTTATCCTTCATCGTCATTACAATCTTTAATCCATTTTTACTTGTAACTCACGATGAAAATCATAAAGTGATTCATTTATAAATACATGTTTACTTAGAAATAGCCCATATGAGATTATAATCATCTTAACTTACAATGATGATAAAAGAATAATGCGGTAGAAAATTTCTATACATATTTTTATTTTAAAAAGATTTATGTTCAATCAAATTCAAAAAATATATCAATAGATTCAAAAATTTATCCTTCAATTCAAATTAATTTTTATTATATAACCTACTTAATAGATATTGTCTTAAAATTGCCTGGTGGCTTTCTATTACTTTATGTTTTTATTTTATTAGGTTGCCACCTGGTTTAACCTCAATACAGCTACTCTTTTTGCTGAGTGAATAGTAAAAGTTTTATTTATTATTTTTTTAACTCATTTGATATTATTTCATCATCATCATTTTCTTTCTACTTGTAACTCGTGATAAAAATCATAAAGTAGTTCATTTATAAAATATATTTATTTAGAAATAGTCCAATATGAGATAATGGCTCATTTTGACTTATAATAATAATAATAAAATAATAATGTGATAGAAAATAATCTTCATTTGAATTTAGAAGGTATTTGACTCAGATGAAGTTAGCATTATGATAAGGATGATCTTTTTTGTCCAACATATTTTTTTATAACGAAAATCATATCTTATTTAGTAGACTATTATATTTAATTTTTTTAAAAATCATCCTTTTCTTCTCTTCAATATTTGCATTATTTCCTAGGGAATAAAACAACAGTCCATACCCTTATAAATATAAATATATATAACTTAGACTCAATAACTTTTTTGTATTATATTATACTAATAATTATTATCAGTAAAGCTTTCCATGACATTTTTAGCATTATTTTTAATATTAATTATTGTAATAGTTCGTACAATTAGAAATAAAAAAATTTCTCTCTTTTATTTTTAATATAATATTTTGATAATAATTTGAATTCTTATTAAAATGACCTATGAGACTCTTTCATAACCACTTAATATATAAGATTAAATTATTTTGATTGATTACCACAATAATTTGAGTAAATATGGTCTCTTAAATTAAATTACAAATATACCACTATTCTGTTGATATACGTATATAATAAATTACATTCAATATTTCATTTTTATTTTGTATTAGTAATCCTCTGGCAATTCTTTCGGGAGAGATAGATTTGAATGTAATCTTCCTCCTAGAGTGAGGGATCCATCCCGTACCTTATTTGTTGGCTCCTTGAATTCGTAGAATAGGGTCATTCAACATATTGGACTGTTCTTACTTCTATCAACACGGGCAGAAAAATTAAATAACAATACACTCTAGAAAAACTGAAGTAACTATAAACACATGTAGATCTATATCTAATTAAATTATACCTTTTCATCTTTCTAGTGTGCATTCTCGACTTGAATTCCACTTTGCAACAAAGATTCGGTCCATCTCTTGAGATTTTCTTTAGGGAATATTCAGGAAAATTTCGT